TTGGTAACAGACCAACCCTGGTGATCAACGGGGCGACAGATATTTCAGGCAGATCACCCTCATATCCTCATCTGATTCTTTTTTTTTTTTTTGAGACCAAGTCTTGCTGTGTGGCTTAGCCTGGAGTACAGTGGTGCAATCTTTGCTCACTACAACCTCTGCCTCCTGAGTTCAAGTGATTCTCCTGCCTCAGCTTCCCAAGGAACTGAGACTACAGGCATACACCACCATGGCCAGCTAATTTTATTTATTTTTGTATTTTTAGTAGAGATGGAGTTTCACCATGTTGGGCAGGCTAGTCTCGAACTCCTGACCTCAAGTTATCCTCCTGCCTCTGCCTCCCAAAGTGCTGGAATTATAGGTGTGAGCCACAGCACCCAGCCCCCTTTTTTTTTTGAGACAGGGTCTCACTCTGTCACCCAGGCTGAAGTGTAATGTGGCTCAATCTTGGCTCATTGCCACCTTTGCCTCCTGGGTTCAAGCAATCCACCTGTCTCCCCACCAAGTAGCTGGGACTACAGGTGCATCACCATGCCCAATGATTTTTTTATTTTTAGTAGAGATGGGGTTCACCATGTTGCCCAGGCTGGTCTCGAACTCCTGAGCTCAAGAGATCCACCTACCTCAGCCTCCCAAAGTGCTGGGATTACAGGCGTGAGCCACCACACCCAGCCCTCATCAGACTCTTAAATGGCTCCATTGCCCCAAACAGGTTAGGTCCAATATCGTACTTTGCAGATGAAGAAATTTAGGCCCAGAGAAGTAAGCAACTGTTTCAAAGTCATCAATAGTAATAGCAAGGCAAACACAGAAAGGAAAATACTACATGATCTCACTTACATGTGGAATCTAAAAAGGTCAAATACATGGAAGCAAAGAGCAGAACTTTGGCTACCAGCGGTGGGGCTGTAAGAGAAATTGGGAGATTCTGGTCAAAGGACACCAAGTTGCAATTATGTAGAATCTAATGTATAGCATGAGGACTACGGCAGTTCTCCTTTATCGGAGAGGGATATGTTCCAAGACCCCCAATGGATGCCTGAAACCATGGATAGTACCTGTTATATACTATTAGATTGTGTGTTTTTTCCTATACTACCTATGATTAACTTTATAAATTAAGCACTGTAAGAGAATAACAACAACAAAATAGAACAATTATAACAGCATACTGTAATAAAAGTGTAAATGTTAATTTCTGGAATTTTCCATTTAATATTTTCTAACCATGGTTGATCAAGAGTAACTGAAACCGCAGTAAGCAAAACCACAGATAAGGGAGGACTACTGTATAGTTAATAATATTGTACCGAATACTGGAAATTTTCTAAGAGGAGATTTCAGGTGTTCTCACCACACACACAAAACAGCAGTAACTGTGTGAGGGGACAGATATATTAATGTGTTTAACTGCAATAATCATTTCACTATGTGTATGTATATCAAAACATGTTGTAAATAATACACAATTTTTATTAAAAATTAATAAATCATAGGCTGGATTTTGAACCTAGAAGTCTGACTTTAGAGAGACCATTTAATCAAGATGCTATAAGAAGTTAATAGGACTTAATCATCATTGATTTAGCAGCATGTCTAAGACATTTATTGGAAAGCAGGTGGAGAGAGAGATCCAAGATGGCTGATTACTAGCAGCTCAGGATTGTAGCTCCCAGTGAAAGTGCAGAGAATGAGAGGACACCACATTTTCAGATGAATTTTTGTTGCTCACGGACCAGGAGATTCTCAGTGGAGGAGCCCCAAGGGTCGCCAGCGCAACTCGTGTGGCTGGCGTGGCGGTTTTGCCGGCGCCCTGGCGCGGCAGTTCTTGGTGCAGAGTAAACAGGACTGGGACCCCTTTTGGTCGACATTTGGAGCTCCGGGAAGGCAGAGTCGCCTATTCAATTGATTGAAAAAGGGAATCAAGAAGGAAGCCAGACTGGAGATTCCCGGGCAGAAAAGCACCACGAATCTTAATGCGCTGTTCTGGCCAGCGCAGTGGGTTGCTCAGATTCTGGCACTGGGAATCAACAAGTTGGACGTCCACTCAGAGACCTAATTTGAAAGTCGGTAATTACAAAGACGACAGGTGGATAAACTTACAATGATGGGAAGAAACCAGCATAAAAAGGCTGAGAATACCGAAAATCAGAATGTCTCTCCCTCTACAGGGGATCACAGTTCCTCATCAGCAAGGGAACAAGGCTTGATGGAGAACGAATGCGTTCCATTAACAGATTTAGGCTTCAGAAGGTGGATAATAAGAAACTTCTGTGAGTTAAAAGAACATGTTCTAGCCCAATGTAAAGAAAGTAAGAACTTTGAAAAAAGGTTTTTGACGAAATCCTAACGAGAATACACAATCTAGAGAGGAATATAAGTGAATTAATAGAACCGAAGAATACAATAAGAGAACGCCACGAAGTATGCACAGGTTTTAACAGTCGAATCGATGTCAGAGGTCGAAGACCAACTTAATGAAATGAAACAAGAAGACAAGATTAGAGAAGAAAGAGTAAAAAGGAATGAGCAGAGTCTCCAAGAAA